ATGCAAGCAACCATGACTATTTTCAAATAATGGATAAAACGTCCAATTAGAAGAAGGGAAGATGGACCAAAAAAAAAAAAAAATCCACCTGGAAAATTCAGCTAAGAAAGAGTCATCCACCCAAGACTTCTTCAGGAGAAAGAAAACCACAGCAAAGCAGGTTAATGGACAACATGAGAAATCTAGTAAGTAAAATCTACCTTAAAAATAAGACAGACGGGCTTGCATCTTAAAACTCATCCAACATGAATTCCCACTGACATATAAAACGTTCTTAAAATCCACATCTGGGGGAAAAAGAACACACTTACTTAGTAGAAGAATTAAAAAAAGACTTAAGGGAGCAATATTCCACCTGCACGCACAAGTTTACTAGACTGACCACTGTAACAAGGAAGAGTGATCAGCATCTGCCACTGCAAAATTACAATGCAACCACGAACAAACTTCTGAGAAAGTTGTCACACACACAGAGCAGACCTTTATGAAAAGCCCCATTGTTTAGGGTCTTGGGAACCTGCTGACCTGGAGGGAAGGAATTATGTCGATGAGTTGGCTGCAGGGTTACTTGTCTGATAGATTGAGCCACAAAGATCAAGCTTAAAATGACTTGCAGTATTCACTAAGTTCCCTTGTTTAAGGCCCTGCCACAAACTAGCTGATAGTTACACAGCATAGCCTGCCTGATTCCTCTACGGCAATAACCTAGCTGAACTACTGTGCTGTTTTTGGTTACACTGTGCATTATCACATTTACAAATGTGAGCAGCACAGAACATAAATAGGATACAGACTTCCTGAGAGAGTCTTATAAAAGAACCCATGTTAGTGTGTTGAAAACCACCTCTTAACAGAAGTTCAGAATGTGAGTGACAGTCACGGAGAAGTAATCAAAATTTGATACACACTGGATTAAATTACCTGCAAAGAACAGAATATAATGAAAAGCAAATCCACCAGTGAAGGTAAAGGATCATGTATCTAACATATGAAACCAATGCAAACGTACAACATGGAACGGAGAGAAAAGCTGTTCATTTAGGAAAAAAAAAAATGCTAGGATGGATGAGAGGGAAAATTTAGTCAGAGGCACAAAGGATTACTGACTTAGCAAAACCGTAGCATGAAAGTGGTCAATCCCATTTTTCCATTTACAAAATATTGTACATTTAATTTTCTCAGACCCACTCAGATAGTTTTATAAAATGCAAGGGAAGGAAAGCTGTAGCAAAGAAACCCCACCCAACGATAACTGAACTGTTGGCAGATTTCACAGATTTTAAAGAACAAAGTAATAATTCTGAGTATGTCAAAGGCTATGCCTAGAAGCTCTGATATTCCTCTCCACTCCCCCATTAGCTAACTACCTCTGACAACTCGGTAAATTTGCTTAAAAGGTACGTATAGTGTTGCATGGCTGCTACTTAAAAAACATGAAGCAGCTGAATTTAAGCCCTTTCTTCAAAGATTTTTTTAACTTTGGGAGGTACCACTACCAGTACACAGGGAATTAACAGGCTTTGCACAAGCTCTGCCTGTAAGCAAGTATGCATTTGTCATAAGACAAGAGCAGTGTCTTAGACACATCCCTAACATAGGAGAAATACATGTATTTCAGCTAATTAGCAAACACTGAAGAGTTTACTTCTGCTCTGCTATCACAAAGAGTTAGCACGTTTGAAATTGCAATCTTCTCATTCACTAGTATTCTTAAATTCATAAACCAACAAAATCTAGAAGCAAATATAGCAGCCTAAAGCTTAGATTGTAGAGCTCTTATTGATTCAGTCAATCATTCACAATTCCTACAGCAAAGGGTATTATGATACTTTTTGAAAGACCTTTGAAGTGGCCAGTTTTAAAAGAAAAAATATTTTTAAAGGGTTTTTTCTAAAGAGAATTACTCTACAACATTGATATTTGCCAGACTTGTATGATTGAACACTCACTCTCTCTCTCTCTCTGAAAGCAGAAAAAAATCTTGAACCTTAAAGAAAAGCTAACAAGTAGATCTATGCTTAGGTCTGCCCAAAGGACAGCAGCTAAAGGACTATGCAAAATTACCAGACAGCCTTTAGACCCAATAAAACAATTAAAATCAGCATCCTGTTTTAACCAGCTTACTCTACTCAAAATATCCATGAGTTAAAAACAAACAAACAGATGACATTAACAATACTTAATGCGGAGTGTGACAAAGATGCAGTGATTAAGTGATTGCTTGCACTACTCCCAGAGCAACTGCAGATGTTTTTATTCTCTGCTAACCCTAGGAAGGGGTTAGCAAAGGTGTTTACCAAAAATGATTACCAAAGATGTTTACCAAAACAGGAAGAATTTTGGTAAACAACTGGAGACTGTACGTGTCTGTACTTGCAAAACCTCAGGCTAGCTGAAGAAAATTATGCAGTAGCATAGACTAACAGAGGCCAATATATCCATCTAATTAGTGCTTAAGCTGCTACTTTTTTTTTAAAAAAAGGTATTCGCCCACTCCAGTCCCTTGTCTAAAAGCGCACCTTCACTACATTGCAATAAACTTTACTTTCGTTTAAAAAAAAAAATCAACATTTAAGGGGAAGGATTGCAGATACTGATTAGCAAAATAAATCTATAAACCGCAGTGTGCTAAGCAAAGGGATTGTGCTCCTCACTGGCAAAAGGACTGGCAAAAGAGTTCAGTCTATAACTTAATTCTGTAATAGGCATTAAACTGGTTAATCATGGAGTGTGACAGGGACCATAATACATTATATATGGCTTAATTATACCCTTCAGCGAGTTATGACTATCTCATCAAAGAGTAAGATACAGGGCAAAGAGACCAGAAGAATCAAGTATTCTAACATTAAGCTCTTACAAAGTATTCTCCTTTAAGGATACAAACACTCTAGAGCAACTTTTGATTCTTCTTCCACAATAACAGAACTTTGTTTCATTTCCAGTTCTATGAAGAGAAGCTTTAAAAAACTGCTCTGAAGTTTTCTTCTTGTCTTACTGTCACACTTGTGTTCTGTATACTAGCACAGGTCTACAACAGTGCTACCAGCACAGCACTGCAATTAACAGGACTTAGTACTTTTGGACAGGAGGAGGGGATTTCTTAATATTCACGAAAATCATTTAATAATGTATGAGTCATACTAGATGTTGGTAACAACAGGAATCAAGAAAACATTAACTGTTAGAAAGAATAGCACCAAATCCTCTGAAATTTGCAAGTTGTCCTACTTGAAAGACAGAATTAAAACTGGCACTGGCCTTAGGATCTCCTTTGGGGCTGCAAAATTGTGACATCCATAAAGGACCTGTAGGGATGAGAGACACCAGCCTGGTGGAGAACACCTAGCGTCCTTGGCCTTCTTCACAGACATGGGCACAGGAGGAAGCTGAGTGCAGGGAACCCCACAGCTCCTGCTTTCCCAGTTGCCAGGCAGAGCGAAAACCTGTGGACTCTAAAAACTCGTGACAGTGCAGATCAGGCTCTGTGCTCTCTGCTAAAATGCAGAGAGCCAATCCTTGTCCTTCCTTCTGCTGCCTCACTCTCTTCATTCCACCTTTGCTGCACACTTTCCTCTCTTCCTGTCTTCTTGTTCCATTTGTCCCTGTCGTGGTTTGAACCCAGACAGTGGTGAACACCATGCAGCCACTCACTCACCCTTCCCCCGCCCAGGGTTGGGAAGAAGATTGAAGGGGGAAAGGAAAAAGAGACTCATGGGTTGAGGTAAGAACAATTTAATAACTATTACAACAACATTGAAAATAATAACGATAATAGTAACAGTAATTATACAAATATACAAATGAGTAATACACAGTGCAACTGCTCACAGTGCAAGGCTCAGCCCATTCCCAAAGAAGATAAGAGTCCCAAAATCACAATCCCGGAAAAGATAAGAGCCCAAGAGTCTGAGAGCCGAGAGAGAGAGAGATACGACCGACAGAGTGAACTTCCAGACAGAGCCTGGAACCAGGCGAGATGTGCGTGATATGGAATATACCACCGGCCAATTTGGGTCTCAATCCTAAACATAAGGTCAAATCCTAGGCCAGTAATTGGGGCTGTGCTCCATCCCAGCTTCTCCTGCACCTTCACACACTGGCAAAGCACGAAGCTGAAAAGTCCTTGGCTGTCCTGGCAGCAACCATAAACATCAGCATGTTATCAGCCTTCTCCGCAGCACAAATCCAAAACACAGGCTCTTACTAACTACTATGAAGACAGTTAACTCTGTCCCAGCCAAAACCAGGACATTCCCCTTGCTTCACCCTTAACATTTACTTATCCTTTCATTTCTCCTGTCATTAAAGTGACGCTGCAGTAACAAGCTGTAATTAAAATTACTTCCAGCAGGGTCCCTTTCAACCTGCATCCGTGGCATCAGCGTCCAGCTTCAGGACTCCACATCCAGCCTGGATTCTGAGAGAAGCCACAGCACTGAAAATTTACCATGACGGAGTTGCCTCAACTGCAGAACATTTCATCAAAGCCAACTGCATGTATGAGAGTTATGTTTGGCTTACAAAGCTTATGCTCTTGTTTTCCTTCTCTCACATTCCCCTATTAGAGCACAAGTTCTTTGAGGCAGAGATTTCTGGCGACCTGTTTTGCAACATGCCTAGCATAGTCAGGCCCCATTACAACTCTCAGAAAACAACCATGAATGAAAACAATTCATATGGCAAGTGACAAACTTTGAAAATTTGCTTCTAGTTCCAGTTAACCAGGATATTTTTCCCTTAAAAGGAAAAGGCAAGTGACAGGCTACACAGTGCAGGAATCTGAAATGTGAACAGCTCAGCCTGCCTGCTGGAGAAAGTACAGATCATGTTCCTCTGTTAAAAAAGTTTCACTTTCAAAAACCTTGTCTCCTCTCTACTCAAGAGGGGTTTGATTGACAGGAACAAGGACTCCACAATCTGACAAGGAAACAAGACAGCATTCATTTCTTCCAACAACAGTAATTTCTCACAGTTTGAATGTAACAGTTCACCCTTACCTCAACTTTGCTTCCTGGATCATGATCTGCGGCAGCAAAGTAGACCACCTCCTGCACTTCATCCCTAGGCCGTGCGGAGTTCTTTCCAAACACCACCAGCCCATCTTTAGAACATGGGGGAAAGGCTACAAAACAGTAACTTGGGGGAGCTGCAGCCATCCTAGAAAGGAAAGGAGGAGTAAATAAAGAGAAGTAGTGTTTGTTAAACTTACAATGAAATGCATTAGACAATCATTTGGTGTACCGCTATGTATTGTAGCTAAGAGACAATACATTCCCTCTACCTGTCCGTTGATCATGCAATGATAATGGAAGAACAGGTCAGCTCAGAGGAAGCTCATCTAGATTTAATAAAAAAGAATTATAGTACTTTTCAGACATTTTTCACCCAAGCCTTGTGAGAGCATGAAGAGGAATAAAGGGAAGATGACTGTACCTTAACGAGTCTACTTAGTCCTCACAGAAAGAAGAAAGATATTCTGCACCAGAGCTGTACAGGAACATATGACCTAGATGTATTCTGCTGACTCAGACAAGTGCAGAGACACAGAATCATTTTAAATAATTTACTATCTCTGCTCCGATGCAGTTTAAAATTTTTAAAAAAGGAAAGAGAAAACAGGTTTGAGGGATTCCTGAGGGAGGACAATGGTGTAACTAGGAACAGAACAAAGATACAGCACAGTTATATCAAAAACTGTCCATCAGTTTATCTACTCAGATCAGAGATAGACTGAAGCACTAATTGCACTTTATTTCCTCTGTGGTTTGTCTGCATCACTGCTCTTGCCTAAAGTTAATTGATTGCAGTTTATTTGTTTATGCAGGCTAATGTGAATATCCTTTAAAAAGCTTATAGGATAGCACAAACATTTTAAGATTTTAAATATTTGCAATGATAATATATTAATAAAAAAGGTAAACTGTTTCAGGACTCTGACTCTACTGTATCTAGTCTTGTGTACATTGCCATATCTGACTTTTTTCCACCATTCAGGGAAACTTCTGGCACGTATGCCTACAAAAGAGAAAGGTAGGGTGTTTATTGCTTGTTAAAATAGCACTCAACACTGATGTCTGAGATTTCTTCATAGATCTTATTGCATCAGAAATTCCAGCCTAAAAATGAACAAATTTGTTCCTCTTCTCCCTCCACGATATCCTGAACAAGTGTAAACATCTGCAAACACTTGGACTCCTTAGAAACAACCAGAACAATCAAAAGTTTCCCCCCAAAAGCTGCTAATTTATTGGAAAGACAATGCTGGGGGTGGGGGTTTGTGCAAAGCTGGTCTTGATCATTAACTTGGACATCTTTCAAACCATTCAAATTTGACTTTTTATTTTTTTAAAGCAGTACCATTTGAGCACACACTTCTCACAGAACAGCAGGCTTCCAATATTAAACCAAAGAAAGAATGCCTTTTGGATAAAGGCTATAATCCATTAAGTGGTAATTGTTTGTGGAAAAAAAAAAAAAAAAAAAAACAACAACACTTGAGAGTTTTCCTATCAACTATGAACAGGTCACACTGATGCTCAACCTTGCAAAAAAACTTAAAGAGAAGATGTGCATTAAAGGTGTCCACCAACATAACATGAGGTGACGAATTGTCTAGGGAACTCACACAACCTTTTAATTTAGGTAAGATTACATACAAGAATAAACAGCCAGTTGAGTTGAAAATGCATTAGGAAACAAACCAACCCCTTTCTACAAGCAGAGTGTTGACCAGTGGGAAGCGACAAGCTACTATAAGCTGGAATTACTTCAGCTGATAAAATACATCTGGCAGAGGACACCTACCTGCAGACTTGCATACTGTGCCACCAAGTCTCAGTACGTTATTGGTTCTAGATGAGTGTCTTGTAGACAAACAAGAAAAAAAGCCCCACTTCAATTGCCACTCTTATCACTTGCGAGTCATCAGAGCATTTTTTACTAAACTGAAATGCAACATGTAGAGTGTTGCCCAAACTTCATCACTAACAAAACCATTTATTATTTTGCTACAAATTATTCCGAGTATGTACATTTGTTTTGCCACGTTGGTGATGTCAACGTAACTGCTTTCCAGCACTGGAAGAGTTCACATCTACCTTCAAGTAGTGCTTTAGTCCTCTAAATTTGTCTTCAGATGCCTTGCCAGACCAGGCAAAATCTTTAATAACTTGCAGGCTTACTGTGGATCTCAGTATTCAAAATAATTATTTTCTTTATTCTAAACACAAACACAATCCACATAAAAAGGATTTATTTGAAATACATAAGGCAGCTGAAAGACATCCAACAGCCTAGAAAGGTCAGAGTGAAGCACAGTACTAATTCTTATTACATTAAGTTCTTCAACTTACGTATCAAACATATTGCCAGGTAGGCTTAAAAAGATGGGAAGGAATGCTTCAGCACTGTGTTACTGAACAAACTGGAAGGTATGCAAGGCAGACTTTTACATACCTACAGACTGAGTAGGCAAGGAAAAGAATTAAAAACCTGTAGGTGTCCAATATTCTACAGACTCATGAAGTCCTCCTTGGAATAAAGCAGGCTCATTTGTATTTGAGGTTTTTGATTTTTTTTTTTCCTTTAAATATACCAACAGTTACTGAACCAAAAACAAATTGTCATTTTGGCAATGCTTTTTAAGTATGAAAGTATGAGTAAACTATAACTGGAGTTCACTTCAACACACAGTATATTTCATACACGGGGCATATATACTAGTTAAATACTTCAAGCTGAATGTTACAACCTGGTACTGAAAACACGATTGTTTTAAGAGTTGGCACTGGGATCTTAAATTACGTTTCTAGAGAAACTTAGAGAAACTTCTAAACAGCTATCAGTCTACTACAGGTTGAATCTACTTAGTTTGCTAGGTAGCAATTTTTCCCAGAACCTCATTTAGTTCATTTTAGATATGACAAGGATGCCAGTTTCTCATACACCCACAATCTGTGTTTGTTCAGAACACTACTGAACTTCGTCTTCCTCCATCACACAACGACAGCAGGCTGTTAGCAGCTACCTAACCAGGAAATTTCTACTTGCCTACTTAATTTTCCTTTTTTCTTAGTTCAGCTTCAGGCTGTCCTCATTCTCATTTTCACACATTTGCTACCTCTTTGCCCTCTCACAAGATACCATCCTGGCTCAATCCCAAACAAGTATATTTCATGTAAGGAGAAACAGAATAGACCTCCTTCACAGTACCTCTCATAAATCACGCTAATTTACAGAACCACCTACTGCTAATCCCTACTCTTTTTTCACAGATTATTTGCTCCTCCAGCGAAAGGCAATCCTTAAAATCTTAGAAAACATTGGGAATGACTGCAAATACATCTCGAAGAACACTTCCCATTCAAAAGCCACAGTTCTTTACCACAGAGCATGTTAAAATACAGGCCTGATTTTCTCAACAGATCATACCTCAGATCTATATTTTAGTGTAGACAGAGGTAAACCTATACTGTACATCAACAGGTTCTTGATTTGATTGCAGACCATTACACTCTCGGATGGGCCACTGCAAGTTAAGAGGAACAGGGACCATACAGTCTATTATAGGCTATTTCCAAACCCATCCTGCATACGAAAGCACTAGACTAACAGCTGAACCTTATGCTATGCCACTATATAATAACTGCTGCAGCTTCAGGTAGTTAACGGGCATCACACTCGGATGACCTACAATCATGGTGGGCACAAAGGCTGGAAAACCAGTTCTAAGCAACAGCCACAAGGTTATATACTCCGCTTGCTATCTTTTTATTGGACAAAAATTTACTACAGCAGGGATGCAATACTGCACGTGGTCTTATTTCTTCCAGAGTCTCCTGGTCACTACGGCACTCAGCTTAGTTTGTGTTCTGACACTATGAAGAAGCTTTGTTTAACAAGTTCTTCTGTTAAGATCTTCTCTCATTGTGACAAATCTCATTTCATTTAGAGACTGTCAAGACAAATTAATTCTATAAACAAATCACCATTACTGTCAGCAGTGAAACAGACGAGCTCCTAAGTATTTTAATGCAGAATGAAAAGTGCAATGTCTGGCTTAAAAAAATCATAATGTGAAACAACAGGTAAGATGATTTTCAGGGCTTTATAAACATATCTGAACATCACTATACTCTTGAAACAAAAATGCTGTTGCCTAGCACCACCTCAAGAAAACTATCCCATAGACATAAAACACTAATCTTCAGGTTGAAAATATCAAGATCTGGAACATTTCACTCTAGAGTATTTTCCATTTCTCAGTATAAGGATCTTATAAACGCTAATGTGTATTAAGAAGGGCCACAAATTCTAATTAGAACAACTTGCACTATTAGTGTCAAAATGTGTCTGCTATCAAGTGGTCAACGAGGAATAAAATTATTATTCTTTAAGTCTGTACATAAAGGTTGTGGCATAATTTAACAAAGCTTCATTCAGATGTCATCTTTCACTTATAAAAAAGGAACAGACAAATAATGCTGTTATAGCAACAGACACACAGGACAGATTACAGTATCCCATCCTCCCCTCATAAACACATGACTGTCAAGAATGAAGCCGTGCTCCTAGGAGAACAGGGACAGGCATAAATTATTCAGTGTGTTTTGGAGCCTTCCCCCCCCCCAACCCAGGAAAACTGAAATAGCTGTGTATCCACAACAAAGCACTCCGAGCTTAGCAAGCCAGAGTTCAAACTGGAGAAAGGAAGATCTTCATCCTAACTTGCTCAAGACTTCTTTGTGTTTTTTTTTTCCAGAATAGCACTGTGTACTGCTTCGCTGAAAGTTGCAATTTGGTACCAAAATAATCTTTTATAAAGTTCAAGAATTTGACTGCTACAATAAAATTACTTCTCAGAAAAATAACTTTATCCTCCCATATAAAATAGATATGAATTATTTTCAAGCCAGCTAATTTTTCCTGGTTTGCCAAAATACCCTGAAGACATTAAGCACAAAGTAATTACCAGTTTTGCAAAGTTACAAATTACGTGAAACAGGCTTGCCAACAGCAGCTTCCATAGTTTCTATGTCTTATTTATTTTAAAAAAAATCAATATTATGAACTATTTGGTTTTGAACCTCTTCTAATAACTTATTGTTCAAGCAATTCCAAAGCTTACTTCTGAAATAGTAAAACTGCTTTTGCCAAC